ATCAGGATTTTCAATACAAATGTCAAGACAGTTCTACTATATGTAGCGGAAACTTGGAGAACTACCAAAGCCACCGTCCCGAAGATACAAGTATTTGTTAACAGTTGTCTACACAAAATACTTCGTATTCGTTGGCCAGACACTATCAGCAACAACCTACTGTGGGAGAGAACAAACCAGATTCCAGTGGAGTAGGAAATTAGGAAGAAGAGGTAGAAGTGGATAGGACACACACACTGCGAAAAGCACCCAACTGTTTCACAAGACAAGCCCTCACATGGAACCCTCAAGGTCAAAGGAAAAGAGGAAGGTCAAGGAACACATTACGCCGAGAAACAGAGAAAGACACGAGAAAAATGAACGAAAACTGGAAAGGGAAGCCCAGAACAGAATAGGTTGGAGAATACTGGTCGGCAGCCTATTCTCTGTTGGAGGTAACAGGCCTAAGTAAGTATGTAAGTAAAGTACTTCTTTTTAATTTTAAAAGAAGTATTTACATTTTGGATCAGGCAAATGTGTACCCGTCAGCACAGCGCCGTAAAATGCATGCATTTTCAGGTTTCAAGCGAAAGCCCATTGTTATCATTCCTACTGAGGAAGAATTCAGTCGGCGAAGCGCCTAACGGGAAAAAGAGGAGGGCAATGAAGTGTCTGAAACTTCAGTTCTCGAAATGAAAGCAAATTTCGGAATTCCTAGACTTGTATCCGAATATTCCTCTAGCGTTTGGGATGAAGTTATCTTGACTGAACTTGGTCTAGATGATGCTTAAGTCCTGCTTTCGCAAGAAGGACAAGCAAACAGACAATCACCAGAAAAACGCCAGCGTTGGGATGGTGGAACTCGTGACCAGGATGACTCTCGTAATTCTCGTTTTTGCAGAGGGATAGTCCGGATCGTGTTAAGGATATGCCACGTGGACGACGTGATGATTTCCGAAGCCCGCCAAATCGTCGGAACGATGATCATTGTCGTCGTCGCTATAATGCTTCACGTGATCGGAGTGGTGAGGGAGACAGCTTCGTTCGAAAACTTGATCGAGATTCGTTTGGCCTTCAGCCTGGTGGCAGGTAAGGTGATGTTCCTCCTGGCGGTCGTTTTAGGGCCCCGAATCGCAGGCCGTCTCCGGATTGAAAGTCCGGCCTCGGTGGGTTTGGAGGTTTCGACAGTTCTCGCGGTGGTATGATGAGGAGCGGTCCTGATAGAGGCGGTTTCCCAGGACCTAATTTTGACTCACGTGTTGGACGTTTGGCCCATCGTGGTTCAATGGATCGAGGAAACATTGGTTATGGCGAGCCGAATGATCCAATGTATGGTCACTTGGATGGTAGTACCGGTGATGCAGAACCGATTGGCAACGCTCATGATATAAGTGAAGCCTCACTTTCTCAGCCGCCATATTGTGGTCCAGTTTTAGCAGCCGGATTGACCGAGATCTTAGGTAGAATCTGGGAACTGGACGTAATTCCAACCGAGTGGTCTCAATCACTGATTGTCCCAATCTATAGAAAAGGACAAAAGTCCTTTTGTGACAATCACAGGCGAATAAGTCTAACTAATATAGTATCTAAAATATTGGCCTCGATAATACTTAGCGCTTGACGAAAGCTCGTGAAGAGCAGACTAGAGAAAACTAGGCTGGTTTTCGATCTGGACGTGGCTGTATAGACCAGATATTCACACTACGAGAGGTCCTGGAACACAGACACACATTTAGGCGTCCTACAATAGTTGTCTTCCTGGACCTAAAGGCGGCATTTGACTCAGTGGATCGTGAGGTTCTGTGGCAGTGTCTGTCATTGAAAGGTGTACCAGAGAGCTTGTGGCGAACTTTCACCGGAATTCTTTACTTCAAGTGGTGTCCGCCAGGGCTGTCCACTCTCCCCATTCTTGTTTAATTTTATCATAGACATGCTCCTAGATATAACCTTATCCTCGTCTGAATTTTCGGTAGACCTGTTACCAGGAGGCTCGCTTATCGACTTAGAATATGCCGACGACATAGTCCTATTTGGTGAAGACGCTGACAAAATGCAGTCTTCTCACCACCTTAAGCAACAATGCAAGCATGTTCGGGATGCGGTTCTCACCCTCGAAATGCAAAATGTTGCTTCAAGATTGGGTTGCATCAACACCTGAACTGGAGATAGGGAGTGAAGTAGTTGTGCGTGTAGACCGATTCACTTATGTTGGCAGTCTCATCAGTGCTGATGGCCTGGCGACTGGCGAAATCGCAGCACAGATATAAAAGGCTCAATTGGCTTTTGCCAACCTGCCTCACCTATGGCGCAGGCGAGATATACACTTGTTGACCAAAGGACGAGTGTACTGTGCATCAGTTTGCGAAACATGGCGATCGAGAGTAGAAGATATTCGTAGGTTACTGGTTTTCGATCATCGATGTCTCCGAAGCATTGCTCGTGTATCCTGGGACAACCGTATAAGCAATGCTGTCGTTAGGAAACGAGTTCTAGGTAAGGATGGCAAATCAATAGATGAAGTAGTGAAACTTCATCAGTTGAGGTTGATGGGACATGTGTTACGTATGGCTAACCACCGACTGCCGCGACGAGCTATGGTTTGTGGTGTAGGAGTAGGTTGGAAGAAAGTTAGGGGCGGCCAGACCAAAACATGGCAGAAATCCATGAAGTCACTGACAAGTGGGGGGACTGAGTCATGTTGGTAGATGTAGGCTATCTGGTTGGGGTGCGTGAGACGAAGGTCACCAATGGTTAGAGACTCTGAATGACATGTCTCAGAATCGTTTGCAATGGCGCAGGTGCATCCACTCTTTGTGTTCTGTCAAATCCTAATCTTCTGGATTAATCAACACCTCTACCTTTGTCTTTCTAATTTTATCTCACTGAATTATACTTTTCGAATCATATCTTCGCTCCCTAATCTTCTCGATTGCTGCTAATAATTCTACTATCGCTATCACTCTTGGATTTGAACTGACAGTTGCGTCTCTGTGCTGATGGGGCACGGCATTCTGAACTGATGTACTTATGTACGAAGTTCTGCGTTGTATCTGTCTGTCTATTTCTTTTAAATAACCGGGATCTACGGAGATGCTATTATCTAACAACGGAAGGAAAATGCTAAAGAAGAGTAGCAATGAAGATAGTACACCTCACCTTACTTTATACGTTTACACCTCTAGTAGTAAGGCGTGAGAGTTACGCAGATAATACATATGGAACTCATAACAAGAAAATCGACACGTGTAACTAGCTTCAAGCTTATGTTTTTACTTAGTCGCTGAGGGTCATCAAGACCAGAATATCTAACCCGATTTCTTTCTCAAGTCATTCAAGAAGAGGTATACTTACACAATTTGGGTAACTGGAAAGTGATAACTATTCTCATACTTCTCTTATCATATAAAACATTTTATTATTATTATATTTGTATAATTTTGTGAACTAAATTCTAGGCCGAATATATTGTAAATATTACTCATATTTGTAGAATCGTGGTTTAGATTAACTTCATGTTCGAATCCCAACCATCTTCATCATTTTCTTCAAACCTTGTCGTTTACAACAAGTTATTCACTATCATGAATCTGGATAGATCGCTACAGATACTCACAGTACAAATAAGAAATTTTCGTGAGTTTAGCTATTATTGATCTCTGACAATCTCATCGGATGTGGTGGTTGAATAAAAATATCTGACGAAACCTCGGCACAAATTTATAAAATCCGGTTAGTGTTTATCAACCTGAGTCACATGTAGTGCGGGCGAGTTTATTACGCATCATTTTGCTTCAATCTACTTTATGGTTGTAAAACGTGGCGTTTAAGAACGAACAGAGGATATTCGTAGGTTGCCAGTATTCAAAGCATTGCTCGTATATTTTAGGACCAGTGAGTAAGCAATTCCTAAGTTAGACTCAGAGTATTAGGTAAGTATGCCAAATGGACTAACAAAGTAGTGAATGTTTATTAAATCAGATGGTTGGGACATGTGTCATGTACGCTCAACAACCGATTATCTTGACAAGTGTTGTCTATTTTAGGAGTAGACTGGAAGAAAGCCGAAGGTAACGAAACCGAGATATGAAACCAGTTCAACGAATCATTGGCAACTAGATTGAGCCATCTATGTAGGCGTAAACGACCTGGTTAGGAACCACACGATTATCATGACTAAATGTTAGATACTTTGAATAACATAGATCCAAATTGTTTGCAATGACCAAGAAGCACTCACTCTTGATTTTACATTTGATTATAAGTCTCCAAATTCCACATAGATTTTCTTTTCACCAATTTATATTTTATCGAAATGCATATTCGATGCCTAATCTTTTTTATTTACACTAATACTGTTACTAAATCTACTCCTCTGTAATTTGTCATGACAATGTCATCTAACTTTGCTAATGGGATTCGACAGCTTGAACCAATGTATGTTTGCACTTAGATTCTAGGCTGCGTTTGACTAACTAACTCGCTAACTGAATGTTTAATGCAATCATATTTTTCTAACCAGGTGGCTAAAACTTCCATACTACGTTAACACTTGCAGGTGAAACTTTGTTAACTAGTGATGACCAGGAGAAAATCCAGATCGATTAGGACCTCTCAATAAGTATCACGTACAAGCATATCACACACCACTATTACTTAGATTGAGGGCATTAGAATAATACTACTACGGAGACAGAGCAAAATAAATCAATCGATTAATTTATTGGTTTGAATTAATATGATCTAAACTAAAAATTAGACAACAGATGAAAAAAATTGAGACTCAATCAAATCATCATGCAGTAAAATACGCACTAACACATCTTCATGAATCACCTCCTGACTGACAACTCTCTTCGATAATGACCGTTTTATGACAGAATATTTATTACAAAAATAAGACTATTTACATCAATTAAAACAACTGTTATCAAATAACAATATTATGAATCTATGAAACATTATTATACATACAAACTGAAGTTGATTGATCACTAATTGTCTGGGTATTTAAAGCCCGATTATTATTTGATAATATCGATAATTCAGCGGTTTTTTCCAGTTCACTTTGACTATCGCTGATTGGTTGAATTTCTTCTGAAATATTCTTTACCATATTATTGTTAAAATTAATATTGTTGCTGTCATAATGATTACTGTTAATCGTATAGCTTTTATCATTATTATTATTATTACTATTGTTATGATAACTGTTAGTAGAAATATCATTGGTACATAACCAATTCACGTAATCATGATTTATATCAAATCTCAATGTGATATGATCGATTAAAATTGTCGCGAAATCTTTCAGCTCAACTTCTTCGTCTTTGAAAAAGAAAAACAACAAAATAAAACAATTGAACATTGGAATACAAAGTAATCAAACAAATTAATAACACTCCGTAGCACCCAGAACCTTCGGTCTTATGTACCGTGGTGGATTAATTAAAGTTAAACATCAACACCGTCAGATGTTTACTGCAGTGATCAACAGATTAAGAGTTCTCTGGGTTCGATTCCAGCGTGAGTGGAATGGATACGCACTGTTGAGGATTCCCATACTAGGATGACATGGTCGTTCAAGCTTTTCGATGGTGCTTTAACTTAGATCACTTCATGATTTAAGTAAAATTCAACAATCTTAACTACATCTCACTGAAAATAAATGAATAAATTCGTTACACTTCTAACCTCTTTGTAAGCTGACAAAAAAGTTAATAAAAATATTAGAGCATGTGATTGTAAATCAGGTTGTGTTTTGGAACTTGTGTTGTTTTATTTAAAAAAAAAAGACTTAAAAGTGTACAGTCATGAAGTGCGGCCAGTTCACCCAAGACTAAACTAAACTAAAAAAAAGCGAGAAATGAATCAATCATTCAATGATCACTTGGGATAAGTTATATGAGATGAAAATTGTATTAGCATACATATCACGGGATTGATGTGAGTATTTGAAAAAAATAGAAGTGCTATTCAACTCGTTATATTACCATCGCGACTAATATGATAGAATGGTTTGGTTGTAGGATTTTACTTGGTTACAAAAATGCATCTTTCCTGTTAAGCATGTTCTATAATACCGGATAGAATCAAAGAGTTTGGGCGTAACACCTATAGTTAAAATAAGTAAACTTTAATCTCTCTCTCATAAATTATACGTTGATAAAATGTAAATTTCTGTAATATTAACATAAGAATAGGGAGTAAATATAATCAATCAGCTAGGGAAAGATACCAGAAAAAATTACGCATGATATATGCATACATATTATTTTAAACAGCAATGAGAAAGATATAACTAAATGAGCAATTTTGAATGATAATTATGCTTTTAAATAGAGTATGAATTAATGGATTGGTAGTTAAATAAAGACAAATTTAGACTGTATCCAAATAATTGGGTGTCTTTAACTAAAATATGATTAGTCACTAAAATATATCCCAACCCTACTCTATACTGAGGAAAAAACAAATTGTATTGGCTTAAGACTTGGGTCCCATTCGATTAAGCTGTAATGACTGCAGAGCAGTTTTATGGCATCTCTCTGATGTGATTATTGATTAGTTCACGTATGTTGCCAATACGAATAGTAACGTTCAATTTAACAATTGACTCATAGAACAGTGATAAGTAATTAGGGCGTTAACATATATTGATTGTTGAACTCCTTCGAACCCAGTATTTGATTATGAGACGAAGATAAATAGTTCTCTACTGTTATCAATTCAATTATGATTCAAAATACACAATAATATGTTTGAAATAACTAACCACACAGCACATGAAATAAGAAGTCATACCATAAACACAATTATACGATTAATGGTCGAGTGAAGTGAATGGTACATGATTATTTAACAATAACTAAAAACATACAGCGATAGTTGACAGATCCATTTGAAGCTTACAATAAGGGGAATATAGGAATGCAACTATACAGATATTTATTAATTATGCAATAAAAATATTGATAATCCGAAAAGTTACGGCTTTTAAAATATTAATCCGGTTGAAAATAAGGTCTAACTCATGCAATCTGAATTCGAAAGTGGACTCGTTTTTTAACAGTAAGAGTTGATGAACCAAGTGAATCCAGATATAGCATATCCCTGTGCTTAAATGCTGTGTCAAGGACAAAAGTCAGAGTGAGGACAATAAACAAAGCACATAATTGAGTGAAGTCGATTATGCAATTTCTCAACGTCCAAACTTATGTATATGAAGGCAGGCTGCATACATGAATGTATCAGTAAAGTGTGCACTACATTTCTGTTTCTGTGGTCGCACTGCTCAACAAACCATTTTTGTCAAACTTGTAAAAGTGATGAATATTCCATCGACCATCGAATACCTCCATTGTAAATTGTCTTCATCTCTGATTCTATTATCTACTGTAAGGCCGCAACATTCTCGAAAAACTATTAGAACAGAGGCCAAGCCTATGATCAATGTTATGAGTCGAGGGTGCTAAAGGGACAATTATTTATTAATACGTGGCCTTCTATGAGGCAAGAACCTGAAACTAGGAGATTAAACAGAAAGCGGAGTATGTATCGAGTAATTTATTCCCACATCCCACAGTGGCTGAATAATGAAGGATTGGACTATTTATGAATATGCTTAGAGATAGACGTGCCACTTATTTCCCACTGGTCTCATTGCTGCCCTAAGTGTTGAAATTCGAAGTTCAAACCAGATACCTTTGTTCGTATCCCTCTTCTCCCAACAAAATGTAACCATGACATGTCAAGTGAAACTGTGTTTAAACTATAAATCACCTCTAAATGTACCTCCAGCGTTTCTAAGCATGTTAACACACATCCATATCTTCTTTTTCTTTTTACTACCATGTCGAACCGGAGAACACTGCTACAGCCATGAGACTCAACCAGCTAAGTTGAACTCCGAACCCTGATTTTGACATGATTCGCTGATAAATCATACATCTAACCATGACCCGAGCGACTACATCTAATTTCTAGACCACTGAGTCAGCATCCCACGGTGTTAATGTTTAACTTCAACCAGTTCGTGATATCCGAAGCAAACAAAAACATAGTATCAGACAAAAAATCCCAAGCACAACATTAACAGGAGAAAAAACATTCAAAATAATTGTGAAAAATTAATGTAACCAAAGAGAAATTAGAAGGATTAAACTCCAAAATTTAAAAGACATCTGCATTGAGCTTTACAATTCGAAACTAAAAATTATCATTTTTGTGTCACAATAAAGAAAACAATGAATTTGAATTATTCCGTGTTATCAATTTGAAGATAGATTTTACATTGATTGAATCATAAATAAGTAAAAATTGCTAGTAAAAGAAAATAATGTTGAGAAAAAGTTAAACTTAATGATAAAGAAAATTTGTACGCCATAACGAAGGTGATAAGGTCTAATCAATAGGTTAAAATCATGTGGAGAAAAGAGTCAGTAAACTATGAGGATTGTTGTGTGTTGTAATTGTTGTGATTATAATGATGTTAATAATAATTATTCATAGCAGATGCCAAAATACTCTGATCTGGAAAAGAGCATATTGTACCGTTACGGAAGTCCTACTCACTACTGTCTCGAAACTGAGAGGATAATAAGACAATGTCCGACGTTTTAATCGAATCGACAAACATGAAGGATCAATCTAGGAGAATCGGAGAAACCTAATTCTAAATCAAAGGTAAACATGGTCTCCAGCGTCCTGATATAACATATGGTATATGAACTGATTGTTGGTCACTGGCTATCAGGGACTGCATATTCTGATGCCGTTCCACTCCCTTGAGGTTTAGATTTCGAGGCCAAGGTCTCGAGGGAGTGGTCTTCTGAGAAAGCCATTGCATTAAATTTGGGTACTCGGGCAGTCTCCAATCTCACACAAAGGCTCAATGATTTTTATGGCACATATTTATTTAGGCGACACTTTGTACCAATGTTTGTGCGTTTAAATAAATAAATAGAATTATAGTATGTTAACTAGGAAAAACGTTTTATTAGGGATGAAAAGGCCTTAAGAGGACAAACCACAATAAGTGTGAGAAGAGATTTAAGTGGAAATAAAAGCATGAAACGACCCTAATATGAGCGAAGGTAAACCAAGAGGGTGCATTTTTTGTACACATAAGTTGAATTTCTTTTAATTGTTACAAGTGTTTCAGTTATTTATAGACTAAGCGTTACTTTGCGCTTTTCGGTAGATTATTAGGAACTAGGTACATATATGAGAAGACAATATTACTACAACTGGGACAAAAGAATACCTACTTATAATATAGGGGGGTTTATGGAGATTGTAGAATTTTCACAGCTGAGATGGCGAAATGTTTTAGTCAGACCGTCATTAAAAATATGGAAGTACTGGACGGCCATTCCGTCTTGAAATGAGGCTCCCAAGCATTGTACATCTACAAATCAAATGCGGGAATCGAACCCAGGATCTTTGATCTCGTGCATAAACGCTTAATCTTTAGACCACTGAACCGGCATTGGACGGTGGTATTACCTAACTTACAGGTTCTTAATGGTGCTTTATTTTTAGTCAGTACATGACTTCAATAAAATTCAACAACTTTCACAACCTTATACTGACAGGTATCAGGTACACACTAATGACTAACTTCGAGAGTAAACTTCCAGTATTCTGGTGAAAAGCTGCAACCAATGAAGTTAAACCACGTCAACTGTGAGGCAGATAACCACCGAAGAAAATGGAAGATAACCGCTTGATGTCGTGGATTGATTGTTGTTGTTGCTCAGTAGTTTGGAGTTGAAGCATTCGCTCGTGAGACTGAAGATTTGGATTGCGATTATTGCGTAAGGAGTCGTACGTGCGAGCTGCCGAGGAGTCCCAAACTAGAAAGAAACGGCTGTTCAAGGTTCCCAGGTTTTCAATGGTTATCTAACATCGATTCAACAATAATAGCAATTTTGAATGCCTAAATGTAGGGACTGATGATGAAGTTATCGAAAACAATTGTTCGGGGCTCTAATATTCCTTGTTCTTCTTGAACAATCCATGAAAATTTTTTGATCAATTTCTTTTTCCTCATAATCTCCTCGAATAGTATTCTCGCTACAAATATAATTGTGTTTTCTTTTGATAATTACAATCACTTTTGTCTATAGTAATCATAACAATTCGCAAATAAACCTTATACGCGATTACGTCATGATCTTTCTCCATTTTATTCTCTCGCTTAATCTGTCCCCCTCTACCGCTCTGTATACAACAGTAATCCATTTTATTTATCTGCACACACAAGTCCTTTGGAAGAGGATACGAAATAAAATGAATTCACTTCATTTCTCAATGTGAACATCAAAGTTTTTAAACTGTACACTTATTGTTAACTTTTCAATTCACTGTTTTTATTATCTTTGAGAAATAAGTGTGATAATTGGGGTGGGGTTACAGATAGGAAGAACATTGATACGAAGTCATGATTGATGAGTCACTGAAGATCATTATTATCGATTAGAATATGAATAAAGAAGTACGTTTAAATGATTTTCATAATGTACATCGAAATTATTTGTGATTAATGAATATCATGACAAATCACATTTCATTGATCTCTCATTTGAAAACAGACGGGAAAAAATGCCTTATTATTAAGTGGAAGTGTGTATTGAAAAATGCTTCTCTACTGTTTTTTAATGATGAACACATTTTCTTTTTGGTTTCTCATATTGATTTTGTCAAGTTTTGACCCACTTCCTATTTATAATGAAACAGTGACTGAATTTCTTATTATTTCTATCACCACATCATCTTACGATTATTCTGTATATTTAGCTATGTAATCTATTTCATAGTTATCACTGATTTATCAAACTGATTCGATTGAATCAGTTCATTCATACGCACATCAATATTCATGTATCTATGGTATGTGTATATTATGTGTGTATACGACCAGTGAAAGTAAGATGTGATTGGTCACTGAGCGTTGGCAGGAGCTCAGTTTGTATTGACTAATTATTACTATACGGATCGTCCCTCTGAATTCACTGAGTCAATGGAGAGCTTAGTAACTATGGTAGAATTAAATATTAGTCTAGCCTATACCCTCTAGTTCTCTATTTTCGATCGTGAATTGTGTATCCCACATAGCATAATCTAAACTGAGTATAACATTAGATCAGTTGGTGTCGTGATGTAAAACAAGTACTGGCAAACGAAATGTTCATTTGGGAAAATTACAGAATGTTTACAATAATATGTACACCTAGTATTCAGTCAAGCGTTTGCGTCTTTGTTGTGTGATCTGTAAGCCGGTTTGAATCTGGACTGTCTTCTCTCGCCTATGTTCTATTCTCCAAAGTATTCCGAACGCATCATGCTTTTGACCTCCTGAAACTCTTGTAGCAGCTTCTACACAACGTTCCGCTACATACTACTTATTGCCAATCTTGTGACCAGCATCTAGCATAGTGTTAGTAAAATCTGTCTCAAGTTCCATTAGGATTATGAAAATAAAATATTCCTATTCAGCCAACCTATCATCAGTAGTGTATTTTACAGTAAAGTCTGACGAATAAATCATTTGAAGACAGTGTTGCTTACCATATTTGCGTTGTTCTAATTTACAAGATAAGAATTTTCAACATCACGATCTGCAGATACATAAGCATAATAAATACGGGCGAAAAAGAAGAGGGAATACATTACTAATATTGAATACTCACCTGTTAGTATTGGATTACCATCAACATAAACTGTATGAGATGAGAAGTTAGCTAACCAAAATATACCATCTTTACTCAATCGTATTTGACCATGACAACGTGATATACGTGCACTGGCACCACTTTCAATTGATAAATTAATATGTGGCTGATAAACAAATGAATTGCGACCAAATGTAACCTAGAAAATATGGTAAAGAAAGAAACAGAACGTGACGAAAGTTCAAGAGAATATAGTCAATCAATCAATCAATCAATAGCGACGTAGAACTTCGTACGTACGTACGTCAGTTCATGGTGCCGAAACACATTGGCATAGAGATGTAATTGCCAATTCAAATCCAATAGTAGTAGAGGTAGCAAAGGTATTAGCAATAGTCAGAGATGTTAGGATTAAAAGATATTATTCAGTAAGCAGAATCTAGTGAAATTAACTTAAAAAGATAAAGTGATCAGGAGTTTAAAAGTTTGTGATTTAGGAAAACATAAAATAAATGCACCTGCGCCATTTCAAACGATTCTGAGACATGTCATTCAGGGTCTCTAACCATTGGTGACCTTCGTCTCGCGCACCCCAACCAGATAGCCTACATCTACCAACATGACTCAGTCCCCCCACTTGTCAGTGACTTCATGGATTTCTGCCATGTTTTGGTCTGGCTGCCCCTAACTTTCTTCCAACCTACTCCTACACCACAAACCATAGCTCGTCGCGGCAGTCGGTGGTTAGCCATACGTAACACATGTCCCATCAACCTCAACTGATGAAGTTTCACTACTTCATCTATTGATTTGCCATCCTTACCTAGAACTCGTTTCCTAACGACAGCATTGCTTATACGGTTGTCCCAGGATACACGAGCAATGCTTCGGAGACATCGATGATCGAAAACCAGTAACCTACGAATATCTTCTACTCTCGATCGCCATGTTTCGCAAACTGATGCACAGTACACTCGTCCTTTGGTCAACAAGTGTATATCTCGCCTGCGCCATAGGTGAGGCAGGTTGGCAAAAGCCAATTGAGCCTTTTATATCTGTGCTGCGATTTCGCCAGTCACCAGGCCATCAGCACTGATGAGACTGCCAACATAAGTGAATCGGTCTACACGCACAACTACTTCACTCCCTATCTCCAGTTCAGGTGTTGATGCAACCCAATCTTGAAGCAACATTTTCCCGACCGAAGCTGCTACCTTGACGTGGTGGTCGGGCTTGCCTATCGTGATGACCCAACCGAGCTATACTGGCTGGAACACATGTTCCTGCAGGTCCTACCATGCCAGGCAAGTCGATTGGTGAACGATGAGACTAAAAGCAGCTACTCAAGGTCTGAGGGCGAAGTCGTACTGCTGACTGCAGAGGGGTGTGACAGCAGTAAGGTGTTTCCCTCGGACAACCAGCATCTGCAGCGATGCTGCCTTCTCACAAGGAAGGAAGAGTTAGAAAAGGTCGGCCCTAAAAATGTCACACCTCACCTTACCTCACGGATTTCCGTCTCCTTGGGTAAGGGTGCCCACTAAGGGCCTTTAAGAACGGAGCTAATACTCGAAAAACCTCTCATAAAAAGGCCGTGCGTGACCGGCCTCAAGCAGTTGTCCCCTGGGCTCTGTGGTCACGCACCAACACTAATCGATCTTCCTTTTCAGGTTCGTCAAGAAACAACCTTCCATGGTGTGGGCAGCCGGGAAGTGATAACCGCCCTCATACCCGCAACAGCACACGAGACAAAATTGTTCAAAATCAAATCCTTCCTACATTCCCTAATACCTCTCTTATCTCCACAACTAACTCTTCTCACATTCATTCATCACAGTGCACAGCTAATGCAGACGAAACGAGTTCGCGAAAGGTCGTTCCTGGTCTCCTTAAACCTCGCTCTAGACTACATGTTGGAGCATTCAATGTACGGACATTGTGTCAAATAGGGCAACAGGCATCATTAGCTAGGACTTTAGAATCTCGTGCCATCGATGTGTGCTGCGTCTCGGAAACGCGCATACAGGATCCGAGTAGCATCACTCATTTGACCTCACCATGTCAAGATAAAGAAGCGACTCGATTTACCCTTCGTGTATCCGGTAGCCCTGATGCTGCTTCTAGGGGCCTCGCCGGTGTAGGTATAGCATTGAGTCGTAGGGCAGAACAATCTCTCCTTGACTGGATTCCTGTAGATAGTCGCTTGTGCGCCGTCCGACTCAACGGGACAGTAAGGACTCGGAAAGATAGGGACACTCGCCGTTGCCTCTTCGTCATATCAGCCTACGCCCCCACTGACTGCGGCCCAGATGATGTAAAAGATGAGTTTTACAGAAAGCTTTCGGACCTCCTCCAAAAAGTTAAGCGCACTGATATAGTTATAATGGCTGGTGACTTCAATGCACAAGTAGGTAGACTAAGTGAAAATGAAAGACACCTAGGTGGATGTTACGGTCTCGCGGCTCAAAGAACAGACAATGGCGACCGTCTGTTGCAACTGTGCTCAGATAACCAACTATTTCTAGCAAACACTAATTTTAGGCATAAGGAAAAACATCTTTTGACCTGGCGACCCCCGAAGTCGTCTCAACGTTGGACACAACTAGATCATATCGCCATCAGCCACCGATGGAGGGGTTCGATAGAGGACTGTCGCTCGTTCTGGGGCACATGTTTAGATTCAGATCATGCCCTAGTGCGAGCACGTATTTGTTTGAGGCTTGCTGGACGTAGGAAAGACACCGTAAGGAAGCCTCTTAGGGCTTTACTTGATGATAATCAAGCTAAGAAAATATTTCAGGAGGAACTAGAAAAACAGTTGGGCGATCATGCAAGTGATTCCCATCCGGAGTCAGGTTGGAATGATATCAAGAAGGCTGTGGAAACAGCAGTGATATCTGCTAGCAAGGTAAACCATAAGGCTAGGATGAAGCGGTGGATTTCAGTCGCATCCACCGAACTGATGGATGCTCGAAAACGCATCCCACCCGACTCTGAACATGATGAAGAGCGTAGTCAGCTTAGGCGCAGACTGGTAAAAAGCCTACGTAACGACCGTGAACAGTGGTGGGTGGCGAAAGCAAAAGCGATGGAAAAGGCAGCGGCGATAGGCAACACTAGACAACTTTTCCGCCTTATCAAAGAAACCGGTATTAGGAACCCGAATGTGAGTGAGACTATCTCGGAAAAGGATGGTCTTATTATCCATTCTCAATCTAGGAGGCTGGACCGATGGGCAGAACACTTTAGGGATCAGTTCAACTGGCCTTCAGCCACTCTTCGGTTGCCCACGATCTCCAGTCATCCTGAATGGCAAATCGATTTAAGTCCTCCCAGTTTACATGAAGTTGAGAAAGCTATAGGAAATTTAAGGGGAGGTAGAGCGGCAGGTCCCGACACGCTTACCCCTGAGATGTTTAAGTATGGTGGTCCAGTTTTAACGGTTAAACTGACCGAGATCCTAGGTAGAATCTGGGAAATGGACGTAATCCCATCTGACTGGTCTCAGTCGATAATTGTCCCAATCTACAAGAAAGGACAGAAGTCCTCTTGTGACAATCACAGGGGAATAAGTTTAACTAATATAGTTTCTAAATTGTTAGCCTCGATTATACTTAGACGTCTAACTAGAGCTCGCGAAGAGCAGACTCGAGAAAACCAATCTGGTTTTCGACCTGGACGTGGTTGTAGAGACCACATCTTCACACTACGACAGGTCCTGGAACACAGACACACATTTAGACGTCCTACAATAGTCGTGTTCCTGGACCTTAAGGCGGCATTCGACTCAGTGGATCGTGAGGTTCTGTGGCAGTGTCTGTCATTGAAAGGTGTACCAAAGAAGTACATTAACCTTATACAAGCACTCTACTCGAACACCACTGGTCGGGTGAGAGCATATGGCGAACTGTCATCTGAATTCTCTACATCAAGTGGTGTCCGTCAGGGCTGTCCACTCTCTCCATTCTTGTTTAACTTTGTCGTAGACATCCACTTAGAGCTAACATTAAGCTCGTCAGATTTTTCAGGGGTTGACCTTCTACCAGGAAAGTCGCATACTGATCTAGAATATGCCGATGACATAGTTCTATTCGGTGAAGACGCTGACAAAATGCAGAGTCTTCTGACTACCATTAGCAACAATGCAAGCATGTTCGGGATGCGGTTTTCACCCTCGAAATGCAAAATGTTGCTTCAAGACTGGGTTGCATCGGCACCTGAACTAGTGATAGGGAGTGAAGTAGTCGAGCGTGTAGATCACTTCACTTATCTGGGGAGTCTCATCAGTGCTGACGGTCTGGTGACTGACGAAATCTCAGCTCGGATACAAAAAGCTCGATTGGCTTTTGTCAACCTGCGTCACTTATGGCGTAGGCGTGATATCCGTTCGCTAACCAAAGGGCGGGTGTACTGCGCAGCAGTTCGTTCCGTTCTCTTATATGGCTGTGAAACATGGCCGTTAAGAGTAGAAGATGTTCGTAGGTTACTAGTATTCGATCATAGATGTTTAAGAAGCATTGCTCGTATATCGTGGGACAGCCGAGTAAGCAATGCTGTCGTTAGGAAACGAGTTCTAGGTAAGGATGGCAGATCAATCGATGAAGTGGTGAAACTTCATCAGTTGAGGTGGTTGGGACATGTGTTACGTATGGCTAACCACCGACTGCCTCGACGAGCTATGTTTTGTGGTGTAGGAGTAGGTTGGAAGAAAGCTAGGGGCGGCCAGACCAAAACATGGCAGAAATCCATGAAGTCACTGACAAGTGGACTGAGTCATGTTGGTAGATGTAGACTACCTGGTTGGGGTCCGCGAGACGAAAGTCATCAATGGTTAGAGACCTTGAACGACATGGCTCAAAATCGTTTGCAATGGCGCAGGTGCATCCACTCTTTGAGCTCTCTCAAATCCTAATCTTCTGGATTAGCCAGCATCTCTACCTTTGTCTTTCTAACCTTATCTCACTGAATTATATTTTTTGAATAATATCTTAAACCCTACTCTTCTTTATTATAACATTAATACCTCTACCATCTTTATCACTATGGGATTTGATTTGACATTTGCGTCTCTGTGCTAATAATGTGGTATGGCAACATGAACTTATGTACATACGTACGAAGTTCTACGTTGCAACTGACTGACTGACTGACTGAAGCAACATTTTGCATTTCGAGGGTGAGAACCGCATCCCGAACATGCTTGCATTGTTGCTTAAGGTGGTGAGAAGACTGCATTTTGTCAGCGTCTTCACCAAATAGGACTATGTCGTCGGCATATTCTAAGTCGATAAGCGAGCCTCCTGGTAACAGGTCTACCGAAAATTCAGACGAGGATAAGGTTATATCTAGGAGCATGTCTATGATAAAATTAAACAAGAATGGGGAGAGTGGACAGCCCTGGCGGACACCACTTGAAGTAAAGAATTCCGGTGAAAGTTCGCCACAAGCTCTCTGGTACACCTTTCAATGACAGACACTGCCACAGAACCTCACGATCCACTGAGTCAAATGCCGCCTTTAGGTCCAGGAAGACAACTATTGTAGGACGCCTAAATGTGTGTCTGTGTTCCAGGACCTCTCGTAGTGTGAATATCTGGTCTATACAGCCACGTCCAGATCGAAAACCAGCCTGGTTTTCTCTAGTCTGCTCTTCACGAGCTTTCGTCAAGCGCTAAGTATTATCGAGGCCAATATTTTAGATACTATATTAGTTAGACTTATTCGCCTGTGATTGTCACAAAAGGACTTTTGTCCTTTTCTATAGATTGGGACAATCAGTGATTGAGACCACTCGGTTGGAATTACGTCCAGTTCCCAGATTCTACCTAAGATCTCGGTCAATCCGGCTGCTAAATCTGGACCACCATCCTTAAACATCTCAGATGTAAGTCTATCAGGACCCGCTGCTCTACGTCGCTTCAGATTTCTTAACGCTTTATCAACTTCATGTAAACTAGAAGGACTTAAATCGATTTGCCATTCAGGATGACTGGAGATCGTGGGCATCCGAAGTGTGGCTGAAGACCAGTTAAACTGGTCCCTAAAGTGTTCTGCCCATCGGTCCAATCTCCTGGATTGAGAATAAATGATACAGCCATCCTTTACTGAGACAGTTTCACTCACATTCGGGTTCCTGATACCGGTTTCTTAGATAAGGCGGAAAAGTTGTCTACTGTCGCCGTTGCCTTTTCCATCGCTTTTGCTTTCGCCACCCACCACTGTTCTCGATCATTGCGTAGGCTTTTTATAAGTCTGCACCTAACCTGACTACGCTCTTTATCATGTTCAGAGTCAGGTGGAATGCGTTTTCGAGCATCCATCAGTTCGGTGGATGCGACTGAAATCCCCGACTTCATCCTAGCCCTATGGTTTACCTTGCTAGCAGATATCACTGCTGTTTCCACAGCCTTCTTGATATCATTCCAAACTGTCGCCGGATGGGAATCACTTGCATGGTCGCCTAACTGTTTTTCTAGTTGATTCTGAAATATATTGTTAGCTTTATTATAATTAAGTAGAACCCTAAGAGGTTTTCTCGCCGCGTCATTCAGAAGTCTAGTAAGCCTCAAACAGATATGCGCTTGCACTAGAGTATGGTCTGAATCTAAACATGTGCCCCACAACGAGCGAAAGTCCTCTATTGAACCTCTCCATCGATGGCTGATGGTGATATGATCTAGTTGCGTCCGAAATTGAGACAACTTTGGAGGTCGCCAGGTTAAAAGATGTTTTTCTGATGCTTAAAATTAGTGTTTGCTAGAAATAGGCGGTTATCTGAGCATAGTTGCAACAGACGGTCGCCATTGTCTGTTCTCTGAGCTGCGATACCATTTTCAACAAGTCAGTGGGGACGTAGGCTGATATGACGAAGAGACAACGACGAGTGTCCCCATCCTTTCGAATCTTTACTGTTCCGTTTAGTCAAACGGCGCACAAGCGACTATCTACAGGGATCCAGTCTAGGAGAGATAGTTCAGCCTACACCAGCGAGAGACCGGGAAGCAGCATCATGGCCAACAGATACACGAAGGGTAAATCGAGTTTCTTCTTTATCTTGACATGGAAAGATCAAGTGAATGATGCTACTCGGATCTTGAATTCGCGTTCCGGAGACGCAGTACACATCGATGGCGCGAGATTCTAAAGTCGTAGCCAATGAAGCCTGTTGCCCTATTCGACACAATGTCCAACATATAGTTTAGAACGGGGCTTCAAGAGACCAGGAATAACGTTTCGAGGACTCAAATCGTTTGCAGCAGAGGTACGTGGAGATAAAGGAATGTGAGCTGAGTTAGTCGTAGAGATAAGAGAGATAATAGGAGGTGTAAGAAGGATTCGATTTTGACCAGTTTGGTCTCGCATGCTGTTACGGGTATGAGGGAGGTTGTCACTTCCTGGCTGCCCACACCATGGAAGGTTATTTCTTGAGGAACCTGAAAAGGAAGGTGGATTATTGTCCGTCATAGAGACCGTGACCGCAGAGTCCAAGGGACAACTGCTTGAGGCCGGTCACGCACGGCCTTTTCACGAGAGGTTTTTCGAGTATTACCTCAGCTCTTGAAAGCCCGTAGTGGACAGGCACCCTTACCACCGGAGACGCAAATCCGTGAGGTAAGGTGAGGTGTGACATTTTTAGGGTCGACCTTTTCTAACTCTTCCTTCCTTGTGAGAAGGCGGCATCGCTGCAGATGCTGGTTGTCCGAGGGAAACACCTTACTGCTGTCACACCCCTCTGCAGTCAGCAGTACGACTTCGCCCTCAGACCTTGAGTAGCTGCTTTTAGTCTCATCGTTCTCCAATCGACCTGCCTGGCATGGTAGAAACTTTAGGAACATATGTTACAGCCAATATGGCTCGGTTGGGTCATCACGATAGGCAAGCCGGTCCACAACGTCAAGGTAGCAGCTGCGGTTGGGGGCCATGTTTCACACCGATAAAGTAGAAACGAGCGAACTGTTACACAGTAGACTCGTCCTTCGGTTAGCAAAATTATATCTCCCCGACGCCAAAGTTGACGCAGGTTGGCAAAAACCAATCGATCCTTTTCTATCCGTGAGGCGGTCGACACGCCCAACTACATCACTCCTTATCACTATTTCAGGTGCCGATACAAGCCAGTCCTGAAGCAACATTTTACATTTCCATGGGGGATATCGGATCTTGAACATGCTTGCATTGTTGCTTAGGCTAGTCAGAAGACTGCATTTTTTTAGCATCTTGACCATTCATTGGCATACTCTAAGTCATCAAGCGAGTCTCCTGGCAGAAGGTCCGCCACTGAAAAGTCAGATGGTGAAAGTGTCGTTTCTAAATGAATGTCAATGACAACGCTAAATAAGAATGGAGAAGGTGTAAAGCCCTGAAAAATAACTTTTGAAGTAATCAGTTCCAATGACTCCTTCATTTATGAACGTTCGAGTATGCTATGAAATTATGGTCCTTTTCAGTTTCTATATATCATACTTAGGGGAACTCTGCTTGCGCAACAACGTTAATAAGAAGCCGAATACGAATCAGTCTGGACGAGTTTATTTCAAGTAATCGTTCATGCAAACAGACATGATAATGCGAAGCAAACAAAAAAAACGAAGCGAAATGGAGAAAGCGAGCGAACCAACTCCGTGCAGTGGGACATGACTACGCATTTATAGTCAGAAAAAAATAGGTCAGATATGCGATAAGTGATGCAAGCAGTGCACGCACATCCTCGAGTAAAACAACCAAGATATGAGTGAATGATTGACAAGGTCAAAAGGCAAGTAAATAATGAATCAGGTAGAACGAATTAACTAAATTGTCCTAAGATTGAGACAAGCCCTATGGGCTCGACATAAAAGTGCACGCGCTAAAATTTCGTTAGTATACCTTAAAATGACAAACTGAAACAGAACCTCATGATAAAGAGTCGAATACCACCTTAAGGTCAAGGAACACAACTATAGTTGGACTTCTGAATGTGTCCCTGTTCCAGGACCTGGTGAAGCGTGAATATTTAGTCTGTATATTCACATCCAGGAGTGAAACCAGCCTGGTTTTCTCTCGTCGGCGCTTCACAAGCTTTAGTTGGGCGTTGAGTGCTTAGCTTTTTGAAGATGGTTGGAAATTTTTCCGTGGAATTCCTTTTTTACCTCATCTGAGCTGCCATCAGTGAGAGCGTAGGCAGAGATAACGTAGAGGCAATGACGAGTTTCCCTATCTTTTCGAGTTCATAGTATCTCATTTAGTCGGACAGATCACAAGCAGCTGTCTACTGGAATCCAGTCTAAGAGAGCTACTTATAATGAGCAGAATATTGTGAAAGTTGCAACTTTTTGAAACCATTTTATGGATAATTATGGTTGGTATTTACATGATATAAATATTATAGACCAACATTACTCATATTTCTGTTTTCGAGCTTTCGTGTTTGATTTTCTCTAAGTTATTGTTAATTAACCACAAATCTATTACATAATATCTCTTTCACTTATGGTTTCGTTATGCTGGTAATTATAGTTTTTTATTTATGTTGATGCGTGATCAAGTAATAAATCAGTATTATCAAAGGAGTTTTGAGTCGTGCACTGAATTGCCTGTTATGTTGTTGTTTATCCCGGTTATCATAGAGGTGAACGTGGGAAACTTTATTTCAGGCTAATCGGTATTAAGTACTGATCGTGGTCGTTATCTCAACGTCATCAGGTTACTGGTCAAAAAGAGTAATTAAGTCTACAGGATAAATGTAGGCGAATAAATAGGTAGTCGGACCAGATAATATACAACTACTTCTATGATAAAGGTCATATCACACGGACCTCAACACGACACAAAAACTGGGTTTTTTTATTACAACACAGTAAAATAAAGTAAGAAAAAGGGAAAATTAACAACCTTCTTTTCTTTAATCAAAAATTGTGTTCTTGATCCTGTAAGCGATGCTAATGCTGGATAAGTTGGTTGTGGATCCATTATTTCTAGCCCATTAGCTATATACATTTCAACTAGACGTGTCCAACGTTTAGCTTCTTCTTTAGTTCGACGTAAACGTGCCCATAAACGTCCACGATTTCGATGTAATTCTAATCGACGCTAGAATATAATGAAACATTATTATGCAATGATTTATCAATTTTATCTTGAAAGGAATTCCAAGTATACATTGAAATATAAAAACAAAATTTATTGTTAATGTAAGTGATTTGTGCAGACTGTTGATTCATGTAGTTTGCATCTTGAACTTACTCTAGTTAGAAAGCTATTAGGGAGTAAGATGCACCGGATAATTGTTCCGTCAAAGTATGGGACCTCTCAGCAGTGGTCACCTATAGTATGAATTTATCTTTACACTTGTAAAAATCATATACCCTCTCCCAAGAATAGTGAATAATTTCAACAGATAATTCTCGAAGCTCTGGTGAGAAGTCATGAGCGAAATAGAGTTTATTCACACACAATAGCTCGTTCAAAGCTTCCTATCAGTTGGACTGAATGCAGTGGTATAGTTAGGAGTGGAAGGAGCACACTCTCTCTTACCGAATGCTGTCAGATGACCACGCGTCACGGAGGTATTATTTACTACCTTATCAAGGTATGGGTGTTTACGAAGTACACTTGTCTTTTGATATCCGCCTGTTAACCAAAGGACGAGTGTACTGTGCAGTAGTTCGCTCTGTCCCGACCGAAGCTGCTACCTTGACGTGGTGGTCGGGCTTGCCTATCGTGATGACCCAACCGAGCTATACTGACTATAACACATGTTCCTGCAGGTCCTACCATGCCAGGCAGGTCGATTGGAGAACGATGAGACTAAAAGCAGCTACTCAAGGTCTGAGGGCGAAGTCGTACTGCTGACTGCAGAGGGGTGTGACAGCAGTAAGGTGTTTCCCTCGGACAACCAGCATCTGCAGCGATGCCGCCTTCTCACAAGGAAGGAAGGGTTAGAAAAGGTCGACCCTAAAAATGTCACACCTCACCTTACCTCACGGATTTCCGTCTCCTTGGGTAAGGGTGCCCACTAAGGGCCTTTAAGAACGGAGCTAATACTCGAAAAACCTCTCATAAAAAGGCCGTGCGTGACCGGCCTCAAGCAGTTGTCCCCTGGGCTCTGTGGTCACGCACCAACACTAATCGATCTTCCTTTTCAGGTTCGTCAAGAAACAACCTTCCATGGTGTGGGCAGCCGGGAAGTGATAACCGCCCTCATACCCGCAACAGCACACGAGACAAAATTGTTCAAAATCAAATCCTTCCTACATTCCCTAATACCTCTCTTATCTCCACAACTAACTCTTCTCACATTCATTTATTACAATGCACAGCTAATGCAAACGATGCGAGTTTGCGAAACGTCGTTCCTGGTCTCCTTAAACCCCGTTCCAAACTACATGTTGGAGCATTCAATGTACGGACATTGTGTCAAATAGGGCAACAGGCATCATTAGCTAGGACTTTAGAATCTCGTGCCATCGATGTGTGCTGCGTCTCGGAAACGCGCATACAGGATCCGAGTAGCATCACTCATTTGACCTCACCATGTCAAGATAAAGAAGCGACTCGATTTACCCTTCGTGTATCCGGTAGCCCTGATGCTGCTTCTAGGGGCCTCGCCGGTGTAGGTATAGCATTGAGTCGTAGGGCAGAACAATCTCTCCTTGACTGGATTCCTGTAGATAGTCGCTTGTGCGCCGTCCGACTCAACGGGACAGTAAGGACTCGGAAAGATAGGGACACTCGCCGTTGCCTCTTCGTCATATCAGCCTACGCCCCCACTGACTGCGGCCCAGATGATGTAAAAGATGAGTTTTACAGAAAGCTTTCGGACCTCCTCCAAAAAGTTAAGCGCACTGATATAGTTATAATGGCTGGTGACTTCAATGCACAAGTAGGTAGACTAAGTGAAAATGAAAGACACCTAGGTGGATGTTACGGTCTCGCGGCTCAAAGAACAGACAATGGCGACCGTCTGTTGCAACTGTGCTCAGATAACCAACTATTTCTAGCAAACACTAATTTTAGGCATAAGGAAAAACATCTTTTGACCTGGCGACCCCCGAAGTCGTCTCAACGTTGGACACAACTAGATCATATCGCCATCAGCCACCGATGGAGGGGTTCGATAGAGGACTGTCGCTCGTTCTGGGGCACATGTTTAGATTCAGATCATGCCCTAGTGCGAGCACGTATTTGTTTGAGGCTTGCTGGACGTAGGAAAGACACCGTAAGGAAGCCTCTTAGGGCTTTACTTGATGATAATCAAGCTAAGAAAATATTTCAGGAGGAATTAGAAAAACAGTTAGGCGGCCATGGAAGTGATTCCCATCCTGAAGCAGGTTGGAATCATATCAAAAAGGCTGTGGAAACAGCCGTGATATCTGCTAGCAAGGTAAACCGTAAGGCTAGGATGAAGCCCTGGATCTCAGTCGCATCCACCGAACTGATGGATGCTCGAAAACGCATTCCACCTGACTCTGAACATGATGAAGAGCGTAGTCAGCTTAGGCGCAGACTGGTAAAAAGCCTACGTAACGACCGTGAACAGTGGTGGGTGGCGAAAGCAAAAGCGATGGAATAGGCAGCGGCGATAGGCAACACTAGACAACTTTTCCGCCTTATTAAAGAAACCGGTATTAGGAACCCGAATGTGAGTGAGACTATCTCGGAAAAGGATGGTCTTATTATCCATTCTCAATCTAGGAGGCTGGACCGATGGGCAGAACACTTTAGGGATCAGTTCAACTGGCCTTCAGCCACTCTTCGGTTGCCCACGATCTCCAGTCATCCTGAATGGCCAATCGATTTACGTCCTCTCAGTCTACGTGAAGTTGAGAAAGCTATAGGAAATCTAAGGAGAGGTAGAGCGGCAGGTCCCGACACGCTTACCCCTGAGATGTTTAAGTATGGTGGTCCAGTTTTAACGGTTAAACTGACCGAGATCCTAGGTAGAATCTGGGAAATGGACGTAATCCCATCTGACTGGTCTCAGTCGATAATTGTCCCAATCTACAAGAAAGGACAGAAGTCCTCTTGTGACAATCACAGGGGAATAAGTTTAACTAATATAGTTTCTAAATTGTTAGCCTCGATTATACTTAGACGTCTAACTAGAGCTCGCGAAGAGCAGACTCGAGAAAACCAATCTGGTTTTCGACCTGGACGTGGTTGTAGAGACCACATCTTCACACTACGACAGGTCCTGGAACACAGACACACATTTAGACGTCCTACAATAGTCGTGTTCCTGGACCTAAAGGCGGCATTTGACTCAGTGGATCGTGAGGTTCTGTGGCAGTGTCTGTCATTGAAAGGTGTACCAGAGAAGTACATTAACCTTGTACAAGCTCTCTACTCGAACACCACTGGTCGAGTGAGAGCTTATGGCGAACTGTCACCGGAATTCTTTACTTCAAGTGGTGTCCGTCAGGGCTGTCCACTCTCTCCATTCTTGTTCAACTTTGTCGTAGACATCCACTTAGAGCTAACATTAAGCTCGTCAGATTTTTCAGGGGTTGACCTTCTACCAGGAAAGTCGCATACTGATCTAGAATATGCCGATGACATAGTTCTATTCGGTGAAGACGCTGACAAAATGCAGAGTCTTCTGACTACCATTAGCAACAATGCAAGCATGTTCGGGATGCGGTTTTCACCCTCGAAATGCAAAATGTTGCTTCAAGACTGGGTTGCATCGGCACCTGAACTAGTGATAGGGAGTGAAGTAGTCGAGCGTGTAGATCACTTCACTTATCTGGGGAGTCTCATCAGTGCTGACGGTCTGGTGACTGACGAAATCTCAGCTCGGATACAAAAAGCTCGATTGGCTTTTGTCAACCTGCGTCACTTATGGCGTAGGCGTGATATCCGTTCGCTAACCAAAGGGCGGGTGTACTGCGCAGCAGTTCGTTCCGTTCTCTTATATGGCTGTGAAACATGGCCGTTAAGAGAAGATGTTCGTAGGTTACTAGTATTCGATCACAGATGTTTAAGAAGGATTGCTCGTATATCGTGGGACAGCCGAGTAAGCAATGCTGTCGTTAGGAAACGAGTTCTAGGTAAGGATGGCAAATCAATAGATGAAGTAGTGAAACTTCATCAGTTGAGGTTGATGGGACATGTGTTACGTATGGCTAACCACCGACTGCCGCGACGAGCTATGTTTTGTGGTGTAGGAGTAGGTTGGAAGAAAGTTAGGGGCAGCCAGACCAAAACATGGCAGAAATCCATGAAGTCACTGACAAGTGGACTGAGTCATGTTGGTAGATGTAGGCTCTCTGGTTGGGGTGCGCGAGACGAAGGTCACCAATGGTTAGAGACCCTGAATGACATGTCTCAGAATCGTTTGAAATGGCGCAGGTGCATCCACTCTTTGTGTTTTTTAATTCTGACCTTCTGAAATCCTCATAATCTCTATCTTTGTCCTTCCAAATTTATCTCACTGAATTATACTTTTCGAATCATATCTTCGCTCCCTAATCTTCTCGATTGCTGCTAATAATTCTACTATCGCTATCACTCTTGGATTTGAACTGATAGTTACGTCTCTGTGCTGACGTGGTATGGCAACCTGAACTGATGTACTTATTAAGAAGTTATGCGTTGTATCTGTCTGTCTGGGTGTTTACGAAATTGAGGTAAACATGGTCTCCAGAGTCCTGATATAACATATGGTATATGAACTGATGGTTGGTCACTGGCTATCAGGGACTGCATATTCTGATGCCGTTCCACTCCCTTGAGGTTTAGATTTCGAGGTCAAGGTCACGAGGGAGTGGTCTTCTGAGAAAGCCATTGCATTAAATTTGGGTACTCGGGCAGTCTCCAATCTCACACAAAGGCTCAATGATTTTTATGGCAGATATTTATTTAGGTGACACTTCGTACCAGTGTTTGTACTAAGATAAATACTTAAGTGACGCACCATGTGACCACAGAATTGTATGTGATATGTTAGGCTTTGGTTTGGTATTTTAGGGGGTTAACTTGAAACTGCAGACATAAAGACTACAAGTATTGAATCCGATTTGACTTTGGATCTGTTAGTGTGCATAATTCGAGTTACTGGAGACGTTAGCACTGAGTTATTTGGGCTTCAAATGACATCCTGTAAGACTGATATGTATTTACAATTGACTGGTTGATAAAATTAGATCAGTACTAAGAAGCGACTTGACACTAATCACTACCTAGCGATCGATTAACTGTGAAGATGATACCTTTACTTGCTGAATGATGGCTTAATACATATACACTGGGAATTCAGTGTTAACGACATAATGCTTTTTATCCGAAGTTGATAGAATTTTCGTGCAAACAATGACGGTGAGGACTATAGAAAGCTGTTGTGAATCCTTAGCTGAGAAATCAACGTTAGTATCTTCGAAAATATAACTCACTACATTATGTAGTCCTACAATTACCAATAAATAATCTCTCCCAGTAATATACACTATAAGGATATCTATGAATACAATAACAATACTAAATATTACCACATGCATCATAAACAATCAATAAGAGATCATAGTCAACGATGCAGTATGTTTATTATCACATGACTCTATCATAAGGACTGGTTGATGTTATTTTTTCTTAGAACAAACAAAACTAATACCATGAGAGGTAAACAAGATTATAGGAACTTGTTTTTTTTTATAATACTTAACATATGTCGGTTGATTAGTTTTATTTTCATGTTTATGACATTTTTTTAAAAATTGAACTGGTAATATCATGTAGGTAATTTGTGTTTGTGAAACTGTAAAGGGAAATACTGATGGTATTGTGCCAACATTATACGACTGAAAAAACCAACCAAAGTGAACACTCGCCTTTTGCCAGGAAAAATAACTCCATATTTTTCTTTTTCTGTAGAAATTTGATTAAACAGACAGGTGATTTAGCGGTGAACAGCCGTCTTGTCCAGTAATAGCGGATATGTCATTTTTACCAAAACTAGATTGCTTCTAATATCCTATGCAATTTAGTAGTTTACGATGAAACCGGTATGATAATATTTCGTGTATGGCCCTCGAATGGCATGGGACGGTTTAGAATAGCGAGAGTCTACTCTACCACTCCAAATGATCTCATTTGACCACGCGTATATAAACTACTGCCTGGAAATTCCTACTCAGACTTCGCGAGGCAAGCGTGTTATTGACGAAAGTGAGAGGACAAAAAGACAATGACCGGAACCTAAATGCAATTGACAAATACGGAGGATTTATCTAGGAGAGTTGGAAAACCCTGATTCTAAACCAACAGTGAGCATAGTCTGCAGGACTGAGGGAACGAATGACGTGTGGACCTATTGTTGATCACTGGCTACTATGGGTCTGAACTTCCTAACGTTGTTTCACTGCCGTTTGGATTAGACCTCTAAGTCAAAGACTGGGAGGAATGACCTTCTAAGGAAATAATTTCCAATTCCATATGTAAATGTAATGATTCGTGAGGCGCACATACATATTTTGGTGCTCTTGTAATAACATACAAATTCATTCATAACGTTATTGGTTAGTTATTAGCAACGTTAAAAGTGGCATTAATATCTGTATCGGTTCAAATTATGATACTGCATTACCACAATCAAAACAACTGACAGTAAAAAATAATATGATTCAAGAAAACAAAGAATAAATTAAAGGAATGGAAAGTATGAAATTATTTTAGAATTGAAGATTTAAAGTAATATAAAGATTGCATATATATGGGTTGTTGTGATCAATTTTAAATCATCTTGTGTAATATCTCTAATCATTGATCCCTATAATCAAGTGGATCTTAACAACAGAATCTCCACTTACTAGTACAGCTCAGCTCAATAGTTGATGCTACATCTTGTTTTGGTTCTACTAGCTTCCTTTCTGTCTACTTCTTTACTACAGTATAAACAGCAGTTACATAGTTAACAAGACTATTTGAAGTTTCCTAAAAAATAGGTTAGCTGTAAAAGTAAATAAAACTATGACCAAATGATTGGAGATTAGTTGACTAGACATTATAAAAAACCATAGTTTCGCAGAACAACATTTCATAACACTGGTCGAAAACAACTTTACTTACAAGAACATAACAATTCAATGATTAAAGTAGGGAGATGCTTACTTTAAAATCAAATTCCTGATTATTTAATGATGTAGTCACAGACGATGAACGTGTAAACGACAATGAGCGTGCTTTATTACTTATTTCTTGTGTTAGTGGTATATGACTTTGATCGTGACCAATTGATGATGATTTTAACTCGACACACGATGTTGTTCCACGTGTACTAGACGGAGTTGTTGTTGTTGTTGCTGCTGTTGTTGTTGAAGAGGCATCAGTGGCAGTAGGAGAAGAATAATGATGATATGGACTAGAATGAATAGTTGAATCATTGAGTTGACTAGAAGATGATTCTTTAAGAAGTGCTTCTAGAACTGTTTGTGTAACAAGACCTTGAAAACCATGATATGATGTTTGATTCAACATGTGTTGTCTACGTGATGCGGTTGACGGTTCGGTTAATTTAGGTATTCCTGCAACAATCGCATTATTTACTGTCTCTTCTAATAATAATTCTGTATCAGAAAAACTTTGTGAGTCACCGCCTAATGCAATGGGATTATAATAATTATCATCTTTCAATGAAGATACACGGTCATGATTTGTAGTTGCCGTATTTGTTATTTTGACATCTGGTGAAGTTGGTGGTGAAAATGTGTTATCGTCAGGTGTTGACACTGGTTTTACACCATCTTTTACTATGATACAATGACAATTATAAAAACGACACCATTGACGATATAAATCTAGTTCATTTCGTCCGGTATAGAATATTGTTGGATGTTTGCGTAAAATTTCTGTAAATACGGAAGGATTCTAGAATAGTGATGGGGAGAAAATATATGAAAAATTTAGTTATATACATTTACTTAAAATTGAAACTGGAAAACTCTCAGCAGAATTATTATCCTTCATTTGGGCGAAAAAGAATCAATTAAGTCACTTAGATACCAAGAATATTGATTTACCTGAACAGTCCAAAAACGGACAAATTTCTACATTTTGTTATAATTTATTATCTCTACCGCCAGTTCATATGCATGTATTAAAAGATAACAAACATCAGAAAAAAAGCAGATAAGATAATTTTAAATTAAACTTCTTAAACAAATCTTATTAAAATTAGCAAAGAGGAATTTGTGTAAATTGCAGAATTTCGATAGTTTAAATCATCAACTCAGCTTATATCCAGTCTACCATTAAAAACCTAGAAGTATTGGAAAGTTGTTTCCGCTTAGTAGGAAACTTCCTCAGCAGTGCTTATTCACGACCCTGCATTGAGGAATTGAACCTAGAATATTTGTTTACTAACTTCAGTGATACCATGTTTGAATCTATCAGGCTTAAATAAAACTTTCATCACGATTTTACATAAATCTTGTTTACACATTAAGTGTACTCATTTATCATCATATAAGCCTGAAATTCATTTGGCTATTTTATTAGCCAATTACTAATCCGATTGTACACTTGTTTTGACTACATATCCATACAAACTCTAATCTAATAAAAAATAATACGAAATAAATTTTTAAACAGAGATGAATGATGACTAGCTGTGGAATCCAAGGAATGAAACTGAATCCAGATAGCTACTGAACTCAGTAGATAAGTGAATAATGCGATGGGGTTTAAAAAGAATAGCACTCGGTTAAAATCCAGAGCTAAACATTAACTCTGGAATGCAAGTACATCTAACTGACGAATCCACGATAGGAAAAAACGCGTGTTTTTGATACCAATGCTAGTCACTGCCCATTTCTACTTAAACTTGCTTGTGACAGACAGACAGATACAACGCATAACTTCTTAATAAGTACATCAGTTCAGGTTGCCATACCACGTCAGCACAGAGACGTAACTATCAGTTCAAATCCAAGAGTGATAGCGATAGTAGAATTATTAGCAGCAATCGAGAAGATTAGGGAGCGAAGATATGATTCGAAAAGTATAATTCAGTGAGATAAATTTGGAAGGACAAAGATAGAGATTATGAGGATTTCAGAAGGTCAGAATTAAAAAACACAAAGAGTGGATGCACCTGCGCCATTTCAAACGATTCTGAGACATGTCATTCAGGGTCTCTAACCATTGGTGACCTTCGTCTCGCGCACCCCAACCAGAGAGCCTACATCTACCAACATGACTCAGTCCACTTGTCAGTGACTTCATGGATTTCTGCCATGTTTTGGTCTGGCTGCCCCTAACTTTCTTCCAACCTACTCCTACACCACAAAACATAGCTCGTCGCGGCAGTCGGTGGTTAGCCATACGTAACACATGTCCCATCAACCTCAACTGATGAAGTTTCACTACTTCATCTATTGATTTGCCATCCTTACCTAGAACTCGTTTCCTAACGACAGCATTGCTTACTCGGCTGTCCCACGATATACGAGCAATCCTTCTTAAACATCTGTGATCGAATACTAGTAACCTACGAACATCTTCTCTTAACGGCCATGTTTCACAGCCATATAAGAGAACGGAACGAACTACTGCACAGTACACTCGTCTTTTGGTTCGAAAACGGATATCTCGCTTCAATATTTCATTAATGACCGGCCTCAAGCAGCTGCCCGTTGGGCTCTGCGGTCACGCACCCACGTCTCTAAGACCAATGCTAATCAACCTACCTTTTCAGGTTCCTCAAGAAACAACCTTACACGGTGTGGGCACCCGGGAAGTGACAACTGCCCTCATACCCGTAACAATACACGAGACCAAATTGATCAAAATAAAATCCTTAATGAAATATCGGGGCGATCTACACAGGATATGAATGTATTAAAAGAGACAGATCAATTGCAGTCATAAGCATCAATGGTGAGGCTCAAATAACCAATACAGCTGAATGAATATGAAGTGTTTAAATACTGTACCTTCAGGTAAAATGAGCCTTAATTACTTACGTACTTAAGCCTGCTACTCCCAATGAAGCATGGGCCGCCCACCAGTTTTCTCTAACCAACTCTGTCCTGGGCCTCCCTTCCCAGTTCTGTCCAATTTTTGTACATTTTTCTCGTGTCTTTCTCTGTTTCTCGGCGTAATGTGTTCCTTGACCTTCCTCTTTCCCTTTGACCTTGAGGGTTCCATGTGAGTGCTTGTCTTGTGAAGCAGTTGGGTGCTTTTCGCAGTGTGTGTGTCCTATCCACTTCTACCTCTTCTTCCTAATTTCCTCCTCCACTGGAATCTGGTTTGTTCTCTCCCACAGTAGGTTGTTGCTGATAGTGTCTGGCCAACGAATACGAAGTATTTTGCGTAAACAACTGTTAACAAATACTTGTATCTTCGGGACGGTGGCTTTGGTAGTTCTCCAAGTTTCCGCTACATATAGTAGAACTGTCTTGACATTTGTATTGAAAATCCTGATTTTGGTGTTGATTGATATTTTTTTGGAGTTCCAGATATTTTTCAATTGTAGAAATGCAGTCCTCGCTTTGCCAACCCGCGTCCTCACATCTGCATCGGATCCACATTGGTTGTCGATGATGCTGCAAAGATATGCAAAGGTGTTAACGTCCTCCAAGACATCTCAATCAAGAGTGATTTGGTTGGCGCATGTTGTGTTGTATCATAGAATCTTACTTTTCCCTTTATGTATGTTGAGACCTACTGCTGCTGAGGCTGCTGCTACACTGGTCGTCTTCGCTTGCATTTGCTGTTGCGTGTGCGATAGAAGAGCCAAGTCATCTGCGAAGTCCAGATCGTCCAGCTGCGTCCTAGCTGTCCACTGAATACCGTGCTTCCCTCCAGATGTTGACGTCTTCATAATCCAGTCGATCACCAGGAGGAAGAGAAACGGTGAGAGTAAGCAACCTTGCCTGACACTGGTATTCACCTTGAACTAGTCTGTTAGCTATCCTCCGGACACGATTTTGTAGTTGAATCCATCATAAGAATTCCGTACGATAACTGTTTTCTCAGGCACACCATAGTGTCAAAGAAGCCTCCACAGTGTTTTCCTGTCCACGATATCGAATGCTTTCTCGTAGTCAATGAAGTTGATGTAGAGTGGTGAGTTCCATTCAGTTGATTGTTCCACAATAATCCGTAATGTTGCATTTCGGTCGGTGCACGATCGATTCTTACGAAATCCAGCCTGTTGGCCTCGAAGTTGGGCGTCTACAAAGTCCTACATTCTGTTTAACAATACCCTATCGGAGACTTTGCGTGGAATTGAGAGAAGAGTGATGCCTATGTAGTTCTCACACCTGCTGAGATCGCCTTTCTTTGAAATTTCGATGTGATATCCTTCTTTCCAGTCTGCTGGTACTTGTTCTTCATCCCAAATCTTGTTGAAGAGAATGTGAAATATTTTTTCAGTTACTCCCACGTGTGCTTCCATTACCTCTGCTGACATGTCTGGTCCTACTTTTCTGCCGCTCTTGATTTACCTGATCCCCATACTGATCTCTTCAATTGTTGGTGGGTCAACATCGATGGGATGTTGCTTCGATGTTGGGTGGGTCCAGGGGGGCTGGTCGATTCAAGAGTTCTTCAAAGTGCTCTACCCACGTATTTCGCTGTTCTTCAGTGTTACTGATTACTTTGCCTTCCTTGCTTTTCACTGGTCGTTCTGCTTTACGATGGTTTCCAGCGAGCCTCTTTGTTTTATCGTACAATTGTCTCATGTTTCCTTCTCTTGCAGCCTTTTCCGCCGTCATTGCTAGATCTTCCACATATTTTCGTTTTTCAGCTCTGATCCTCTTCTTCACTTCCCTGTTTGCTTCTGTGTGTGCAGCTTGTGTCCTAACTTTCTCTGCTCTTGTTCGGCTGACATTGATTGCTGCCGTCTTGTTCCTCCTTTCTTCAATTTTTTCGAGAGTAACAACAGAGATCCATTCTTTGTGATGGTACTTCTTGTGACCCAAAACCTCCTGACATGTTGAAGTGATTGCCTTTTTGATCCCTTTCCTATTTTAAGTTGAATTATTATGTATTAGTTGCACTGTATATTTTTTAAATATATGGTATTTCCATATATTGCTAATTATAAGATTTCGTTTCATTTATTTAACTAATGATACACGTTTGACTGTCACTGAATTATCGTTCAGTAATTAAGGAACTCTTTGATCAGTTTTATATTAAATATAACTGAGTTCATTATATACAGACTGTAATATTTGGTAATAACTGATGTAGAGTAAGCCCATTATTATTGAACTTGATAAGTCATTAATTTCATCAAAGTATTTACAACAGTAGTTATTTTCATATACGCAACATTGTATAGTGCTAAAAGAAAACAAACAATAAATCAATACACTTACTAAATTATATACATTGAGTGATTTCAACACACCGTCTGGATAGACATCGGAGAACGAAATCTGAGCTATAATATTATCCTCTTGTGAACTGAATGGTATTTGTCTATCTAGTTGATATTTTATAAACGGTGGAAGTTTATCGATTGCTTTCAGTGCAGTACTAAAAGTATGTAGGAGATATAGGGATAAGTGAATGTAAGCATTAAAAAACTGAGTAAATAGACAAAATAAAGGGAGAAAATCCCCACTGAACTATGAAATTTACATAACACTCTAAAATATTTGTTTTGCCGTGTTTTATAATTTATCATTTGAGAGACAAAACTCTGGTACTTATGTTTTATCGTTTCCAATCGACTCCTTAGTAGTAGCATCCATAAATCCACGATTCAAAGCAATCAGAGCTCCTAAGCTCCACATAGTACAGATGTTTATCCCCTCAGTTAACTAACTAAATTGGATTATCTTACATTTTCGGTCTGACTAGTTTCATACACTGCAAGTGCTTAATTGAAACAAGAACAATTACATTTCCGGTATTCATTATTGACTTCTGAGCATAAACAAAAGAAACGAATAGAAACGAACAATCAGAATGAAGATAACGAACACTGAATAATTGCATTATTTTTAAGAAGGAATTATGCTATCGTAAATCATGTTTTCATGACAGACATTCTCATAGCATCTGTACCGTTGAACTGGTTCATTGATCGAACTAATTACGTGAACACAAGTTCAGACTTCTGTAGTTGTAGCAGATACAACTTATATTTCCATAGTGCAGTGGTAATAGTGCTGCACAGATGTTTGCAGTAAGATGTCGTTAAAGAAGAATACCTCCTTTGATGTTAAAATAGTGGAAACTGACGAAACCGTTATACACAAAAGAAAGTATAACAGAGGTAGAAGTGTTAGGGTTGAGTTAGTAACTAAATGTTGATTCTCCAGTCTTATTTGTAGCGGAGCGGAATATGAGGTGGAGGTTGGAGGTAGTCAACAGGAAACCTTGAACCTAAGCTTCGTGCTATTGGGCACTTATCGGCAAGGTGCGCCTGTAATCTTGAGAGAACTGATTATTCCTGGTGAATTCCATGCAATGTCAAGTAGCTTCAGCTTATAACCTGTAACAGTCACAGACTGACTTTAGGGTACTATTGACAAAAAGCCACATTCCATACACTCATGAATATTCAAAGGAAATATCTTTAACAATTTAAACTACTTTCTAATATAAAAGTAGTCAAAACTTTTAGTTTTGATTATCTTACCTAGATACAATAGGGTCGAATAGTAAATCACGCCAACGATTTTCAATTTCTTTCTCCGTAAAATGAACAGCGAATCTTACGGTGTGATACACTTCCGTAAGGTTACATACCTGTGTGCAAAATATTTATTTCAAATGGTTCTGTGATAAAGCATACAAGATCGAGAGATAATTGTTTGAAAAAGGAGAAGGTTCGTTATAATGAACTTACAACGCAATCATCTATTTAGTTTTTAGTTCACTTATTGACAACAACTTATAGCTTAAGTACAAATCTGTATGCGACAGCTAAATCAGACCGAACCAAAGTAAGACAAAGTAACTTCAAGTCTGATATTTAATAAAATCGTTGATTTGTAAAAAATGACGGGTTATTGGTTAGTGAACTAATATTTTAACTAACTTAAAATTTTGGATTCTGCTATATATATTTAACTCTGGTCAGACAATTAGCATTATTAAGACAGAAGCAACTCAAAGTCGAGTATACGAACTCATACACAATGATTGTTTTATAATATTTCGAGGAAATATGTCTGACTAGAAAACAATACACTATTATTGGGCATCAAATGGTTTCCAAAATGATTTAAATGTGGGGTCGAATTTCTGACTATACAAAACGTTATTAAGTAGGAAGCAGAGCAAATTCCACCGAATAATATTTTCTACAGTTCCTAGTTTGTCTATGGATGACTGACTAATCTATATTCAATTTTGAATAATCTTTTAAATAATTCAACAAGAACTGATTTGAAAGGTGTTATGGCTTTACACTAGCCAATATGCAGACGATCTTTGAGTAGCTAATAAAGATCAGTAACTACCAGTCCAAGATTCGTTACTTTATTTCAGACATTCGTTTAAGTACACACAAAATCAGACCACATTGAATCAAAAAATGGGAATTAGCAACTATACATGGATAAGCCAAAAGCGACTGTGAGCAGGGGAGATTGTAAATGATAAATTGCCAAATACATAGGAACGGCAAATTATATGATAATTTATGGGTTAAAAAATGCTTATGATGAAAGATATATATATATATATACCTGATAGTCTAGTTAGTTTATAATTATACGATTAGGTTATATACATTAATAGTCCATAAACTGGTTTCCCAAGTTACTATTTACTTTAGTCTTTATCCGGACATAACAAACGGTACACGTGGAACAACCACAACAAAATAAGATAGTGGTCTACATTTTGTTTAGCAAGACAATTATGTTTTAATCAACAAAATATTTCACCTACCATAACAACGGAATTTATTAATAAGTAATCATCACCGGGAGTCCATGGTGCATTTTTTGTTTCACGCTTGGCTTTGTGGTGACTGATTCGAGAGGGTTTTCGTTTCACTGTTCTAGAGAAATTTCTGCGACGGCATAATCGTAAAGAACTTTTCCTATGCTGTCTTCCATGGGAAGAAATCTGAATATTATTTGATAATACAGTAAAAATTTGAAACTTACCGAAGCTTTTGTAGTTGTTCCTGAGTTTTTAGAATTAGTAACGGCGGCATTATAATTCATTTATGTACAAACTATCACAAACTGAAAAGAAAAGAAGTCAATGACTAGTGCATTTAAGTAAGCATGGTTATATACAACATATCACGACAGTTTATATATTCCATGGAAATTGATTTTATCAACGGGTATAATCTATTGCCCGGAAGTAAGATATGATAAGGTTATCGAGTACATAAAACGTTTAAAACGCCATAACAAAAAATTGAAGGAGTCTAACTAAGATTAACGTACTGGAGTTGGTTGAATCTGCTATCGGTAATGTATTGGCAAAACAGCTTTTGAGAGAATATATATATATATATTACTCAGGTAAAAATCCCGACTGTAGCCGCCACCTTGACGTGGTGGTTGGGCTTGCCTATCGTGATGACCTAACCGAGCTATATTGGCTGTAACATATGTTCCTAAAGTTTCTACCATGCCAGGTAGGTCGATTGGAGAACGATGAGACTAAAAGCAGCTACTCAAGGTCTGAGGGCGAAGTCGTACTGCTGACTGCAGAGGGGTGTGACAGCAGTAAGGTGTTTCCCTCGGACAACCAGCATCTGCAGCGATGCCGCCTTCTCACAAGGAAGGAAGAGTTAGAAAAGGTCGACCCTAAAAATGTCACACCTCACCTTACCTCACGGATTTGCGTCTCCGGTGGTAAGGGTGCCTGTCCACTACGGGCTTTCAAGAGCTGAGGTAATACTCGAAAAACCTCTCGTGAAAAGGCCGTGCGTGACCGGCCTCAAGCAGTTGTCCCTTGGACTCTGCGGTCACGGTCTCTATGACGGACAATAATCCACCTTCCTTTTCAGGTTCCTAAAGACATTTTTGGAAGTATAATCCTATTGGTCGATTTCTAATGGTCAAAATTATGGTCGTTTTAACTGTCAAAGTCAAATACTTTAATGTTGTCTCTTATTGGTCATCCGAACTGTCAATGTCATTTCAAATGTTTTTTCCTTTTGGTCGTCCTAAACTGTCAATGTCACAGACCTTGATGGTCTTTCCTATTCGACCTAAATGTATAAATACGCACTATCTGTAAGACTCCATGATTCCGATTCCGTTTCTTCCTGCCTACCTCTCTTCTGTACTCGAACCAATAAACAACTGCATCCAATGGTGTTGCGTTCTGATATATGGGAGATTTGGGAATAGTATTTGGGTCGTATTGGAATATTTGAGTTCGCACGCCGGTAGAATTTGAATAGCTACGTAGCAGCATTATAACAAAAGAACAAAAGATATAAGTTTCGAGAGAGGAGAGTAATAGTAAATCAATTGAATATATAGTACGTAAGGACAGGACTCAAAAGGCACTCGAAATTGCAACGTTACTTTGGACTGTCCTAGCATGCAACTTTAGGTGGACCCAGTAATTGCTCCACATGTCTTGTGTTTACAAGTGAATGAATATATGCACAATGCCATTGAAGCAACCGGGGAGAGAGCAGTTGATCAAGACGGATAGACCAATAGCGTAGTAGTCCAAAATTGGTATGGTGCATATGTCGAATTCGCTATTTCTATTGTCTATTAATCAAGGAAGAAAACATTCTTATCCTCAAGAATTTTCAAATGTCCCGGTCTGGTAGTGTAAACTGGATTGTTTCATACAATTGGAGAGCAATCAGCGAAGTCACAGCAAACTTGAAGAACACACGTGGATATAAAACTCCCGTTGTGGACGGGCAGGGCGAGAGTAAATAAATTATCATTTGAATAGGACTTAATTAAAAGCGATGTAACCTATGGCACCATCTTAGTTGCCCTAATTCTTCATTTCCGTCTACAGATTACCGAAACTACTTAGATCATTAAGTGATCTTTGCGGATTATGTTATCTCAAACAGTTAAAACATGTACAGAGGAGCCGGACCTTTACTTTATTGCAAACTCCAAGGAGTAACAAGTTCGCTAACCAACTATCTTTTTAAAGACACTGACTAGAGTCGGTCGACAACATAATGGTGAAGAATAAATTCATGCAAGGGAAACGTGGAGAAACAGAATAAAAACGGTTTATAAAGTGATATTAGAGCGAAAGCACGCTGGGATCACTTATTACTGCGCACATAAAATGTTAAGTGAACTTAACCACTCCTTTGTTTCAAGGTGATGTACAAATAAGGTTAAACCAGTTGCCAACCACTCAATGTCTAATATCGAATTTTGAATCTAATATCTTTTTTATGAACTAGTGTAAACTAATCGATTTCTTCGCACTCGATTCTTGTTCTTTCGGTACTGTTCCTGGTGTTTTGTTGTGTCCAATGAATGCTGGTCTAGCCACTCGACCGTCTAATCCTAGCCAGTTGGCAGCTTTTCGAGAGTTTGTATGTCTCAGGATTTGAATGAAAACGCTAGTCTCAGGGCAGTACGGTTTCTGGATACTAGCAGCCAACACATTACCAGACCGAAGATCAGTTAGTTGCAGTGTGGAGAATAATGAGGATAATAAGGATAAAATTCTAACGCTAATATGAATTAAATTTCAGAACTAAGTAATATATAGATAAATTTAGTTTGTTAATTGGTAGTGAAGATTGTGAGAGATGACCGAAGTGTAAGCTACGGAGAGGAAACAGAGATAATAGGCGAGATAGATTAGGTTAGTGGTCTGAGGAGATGGCAATGATAACAACTAGCAAATCTCAGGCGCATGCATCAGGCACAGCTTGCCCAAGAGGGAGATGATAATCCGTATGTGAGTCGTGCTTATCAAGTCTCTTATTAAAGCAGTCTACTGAGGGGGCTGTGGTCACCTCGGCTGGGCGAGCATTCCAGGTTGCGACGACTCGCAATGAGGAAAAGTGTGCACGAACCTGAGTATTCGCTCTTTAATGCGCAATTTTTCGAGGATTGCCTTGAGAGGAGTAGTGGTGATGCGTCGGTAAGATACACACGTTGGGATGGTTTGGCGTGCTTAGTATGTTGTACGCCATAATCAGATCAGCTATGATTCTCCTGTAACTCAGGGGGAATAATCACAAGTGCTGGAGTCCATCTTCGTAAGGTTTGTTCTTCAACCCTATCACCCATTCGTTGCTCGTCTCTGCACTCGATACAACAGATTTGTGTCGCTTTTAAGCAGAGGGGGTGCGACAATTTTGTGAACCTCAAGGTGTGGGTGTGCACATGTCTTAAACAACGTTAAGAATAATTCTGGGGTGATAGCACCGTTGTCACTGCATAAATTGAAGAGTCTCATTCGGCTTGGCTACGTCCCCTACATAGTTCGGACTAGTGCGGAGGCTTTTTGTGGTTAATAAACCGAGGTCGCGCTCTGTGAGGCTTGCTGGACGTAGGAAAGACACCGTAAGGAAGCCTCTTAGGGCTTTACTTAATGATAATAAAGCTAAGAATATATTCCAAGAAAACTAGAAAGAGAGTTAGGCAACCATGTAAGTGATTACCATCCGGAGGCAGGTTGGAATGACATCAAAAAGGCTGTGAAAACAGCAGTGATATCTGCTTGCAAGGTAAACCATAAGTCTAGGATTAAGCCGTGGATCTTAGTAGCATCGACCGAACTGATAGAGGCTCGAAAACTTATCCCACCTGGCTCTGAACATGACGAATAGCGAAGTGAGCTTAGGCGCAGACTTATAAAAAGCCTACGTAACGACCGCGAACAGTGGTGGATGGCCAAAGAAAAAGCGATGGAAATGCAACGGCGACAGTAGACAACTTTTCCGCCTTATCAAAGAAACCGGTATCAGGAACCCGAATGTGAGTGAAACTGTCTCAGTAAAGGATGGCTGTATCATTTATTCTCAATCCAGGAGATTGGACCGATGGGCAGAACACTTTAGGGACCAGTTTAACTGGTCTTCAGCCACACTTCGGATGCCCACGATCCCCAGTCATCCTGAATGGCAAATCGATTTAAGTCCTCCTAGTTTACATGAAGTTGATAAAGCGTTAAGAAATCTGAAGCGACGTAGAGCAGCGGGTCCTGATAGACTTACATCTGAGATGTTTAAGGATGGTGGTCCAGATTTAGCAGCCGGATTGACCGAGATCTTAGGTAGAATCTGGGAACTGGACGTAATTCCAACCGAGTGGTCTCAATCACTGATTGTCCCAATCTATAGAAAAGGACAAAAGTCCTTTTGTGACAATCACAGGCGAATAAGTCTAACTAATATAGTATCTAAAATATTGGCCTCGATAATACTTAGCGCTTGACGAAAGCTCGTGAAGAGCAGACTAGAGAAAACCAGGCTGGTTTTCGATCTGGACGTGGCTGTATAGACCAGATATTCACACTACGACAGGTCCTGGAACACAGACACACATTTAGGCGTCCTACAATAGTTGTCTTCCTGGACCTAAAGGCGGCATTTGACTCAGTGGATCGTGAGGTTCTGTGGCAGTGTCTGTCATTGAAAGGTGTACCAGAGAGCTTGTGGCGAACTTTCACCGGAATTCTTTACTTCAAGTGGTGTCCGCCAGGGCTGTCCACTCTCCCCATTCTTGTTTAATTTTATCATAGACATGCTCCTAGATATAACCTTATCCTCGTCTGAATTTTCGGTAGACCTGTTACCAGGAGGCTCGCTTATCGACTTAGAATATGCCGACGACATAGTCCTATTTGGTGAAGACGCTGACAAAATGCAGTCTTCTCACCACCTTAAGCAACAATGCAAGCATGTTCGGGATGCGGTTCTCACCCTCGAAATGCAAAATGTTGCTTCAGTCAGTCAGTCAGTCAGTTGCAACGTAGAACTTCGTACGTATGTACATAAGTTCATGTTGCCATACCACATTATTAGCACAGAGACGCAAATGTCAAATCAAATCCCATAGTGATAAAGATGGTAGAGGTATTAATGTTATAATAAAGAAGACTAGGGTTTAAGATATTATTCAAAAAATATAATTCAGTGAGATAAGGTTAGAAAGACAAAGGTAGAGATGCTGGCTAATCCAGAAGATTAGGATTTGAGAGAGCTCAAAGAGTGGATGCACCTGCGCCATTGCAAACGATTTTGAGCCATGTCGTT